ATACCAACTAAACCACAAAGCAACAGAGTGATTTAACAATAGTTTTGTTTAAAATCAAAATAATGCAAAAACCTTAATTTTATTGACCCTGCCACAGGATATCAAGAAAGACTGGTTATTAGTAATTATTAACTTTATCATCTAATTGCTTGTTTAGAATTAACCTTAATTGTATTAAGTCTGAAATTCCAGCACTTCCTTAGCTAGTTAATATGGTGACAAAGACTATTTCAGAGCAAGATGGGAAGAAGTATTAAAATAGACTTTGAATACTTTGGCCACCAAGAGTGAAAATGTGGGGTTTTATTTGAAAAAGATATGATGAAGAATTGGGTTAATTGTTCATTGTGTGAAGTTTTCTGCTTCAGAGATATGTATTCTTCATGGATCCTCAGAAAGTAAAGCCTCCTGAAGATCTCCAGGACCTGGGTGTGAGATTCCTGCAGCCTTTTGTTAACCTACTGTCAAAAGCAACATACTGGTGGATGAACACACTCATTATATCTGCTCATAAAAAGCCTATTGATCTGAAGGCAATTGGAAAATTACCCATAGCGATGAGGGCAGTCACAAATTATGTTTGCCTGAAGGATGCCTATGAGGAACAAAAGGTAATGAGATGTCTGTTTTTTTTGTCCATAATTGTAGAGAATGGGTCTATTAAATATAAAACCACGACATTTATTTATGTTTATTTATTGCTATAATATGGGCGAGGGGTTTACATTACATTTCAGATTCCTAACTTTGTATTCAACAATTTAAACTACTTATCACCCCCACCCCCACCCAGTAGTTTATCCCTCACCTGTGCCCTGATTCCTCTCCTCCCTCTTGCGGCCTCTATCTTCTATTTCATGTAACTTAACATGCATCCACAGCCTAGGCAAGGCAAAATGTTTTTATGATTTCTCCAGTTAAATAAGTATGCACTGGTGGCATAGTGGGATATGCCATTCATTTGTCTGCTACTGCAAAATCAACAATTTGTCCCCACTAGGAGGCTACCTGCTCCCACAAAGATTTCCAGCCTCAGAGATGTTGGGGAGTAGTTCCGCATTACTTTATAGGGTTGGCATGAGTCAGGATGCACTTGGTTTGGTTGGTTTTATGGTTAAAATTTGGCAGATTTCCTTTCCATATTTTCTTGTGGTTTGACCCACACTAATTGAATCACTGAGCAAAAATGTAAAGAGTTACTAACTCATGGGCATGCTGTCTTAATTGTTTAGTCAAGGCAAGAAGCTTTGAAAGGAATCCAAGCTTTAAATGAAATATTGATCAAAATACAGATTTTGTGGTCAAAACTGGGGAAATGAAATGAAAGAACAGGCACTATCTACTAACTAGTGTATCATTTTATATATCTGCCAAAATTGGTTCCCTTGGTACCTTCTTTGAACATTTATAATTGCTTTAGATGTAAAAAATATGAGTCTTTGGGGTGCTTTCAATTTATCTTGTTGTCATTCTGAATAATCATAGAAACTGTCCATAGTGGTGATAGATGCATTTTATATTGAATCATCACCAAATATCAGTCTAATTTAGAATAGTTAAAAAAGCATTGAAACTTTATTGAATTAGTTTAAAATTTTTCTGGCTGCTCTAAATCAAGATCAACAAAACATTTACGGTAAATGATGAAAATGACCTCTGTTTTGTGTCACAAATGCATTATGAAATTAATATTGCAGGAAATAGTTACTACAAGTGAACCTGAGTCATCTCTCTGCTTTCATCTTTGGGAACAGTATTGCATAATACTA